TTAATCTTCTTTTATGGCTATCCCAAGTGTTCCATTGCATTCACTTTAGTTTTCTTTTACACTTTTATGAGCTTGAAGGATGTCATATATAGAAAATTGGTAGAATTTATCTTAGATGCAAGCAGTCTAGAGAAATTCTGATGCCCAGTCTGGTCATATGGGTCTTCATCACATGGAGCTGGAACACAGAGTCCCCGGAAGAATGTGGCAGGGATGCTGGCATTTGTTCATACTCCTTTTATTCTCTGTAAACCCTGTGAAATGATATGTGAGTGTAGGTCTGAAATGATGCTTTGCTGTGTGAATGCCGAGCATGCAATAAATAGACTCTTGTTCTTTTTTTCTCCTTACTCGCAAGGGTGGTGAGTCACTGTTTGGAAAGGCGATTCACTCTAGAATAGTATTCTCAAACTTGAGGGTCCCTGAGAATCACCTGGAGGGCCTGCAAAAACACAGGTTGCTGGGCCTCAACCTATGGCTTCTAATTCAGTAGATCTGAGTTGGAGCCCAAGAATGTGTACTTCTAGTGAATTCTAATTGTGTTCTAGTGAGTTGGTATTCCATTGCTTACCCTCATCTCTGGAGTATACATTCATTAATGATATGTATTTTGTGAGCTGACTCTCAGATGATCCAAGTTCATCTGGTTCAAACTTCTGGAAAAAGCAGACCACAGACCACATTGCTGATGCTGCTGGTCCTAGGACCACACCTTAAAAACCACTGTGCTAGAGTGGAGATTTTTGAACTCTGGCTTCATAGGAGACTGCTTTGCATACACTTTTTTTTAAATGTTGATGCTTGAAGTCCTTCTCCAGACCAATTAAGTCAGAACCTCTGTAGGTGAAGTTCAGGCATCTGTGTTGCTAAGCTCCCCCTCCCATCCTCCACTGATCAAATGTGCAGCCTGAATTGAGACAGCAGAGAACAAGTTTGCTGTTGTGTGTTAGGCATAGAGAATTGAGGGTCATATCTATCTGAAGACTTGATTCTGAAAAAAGTATAAGCGATAATTACCTAAGGAATATCAAATTAATTAGGCCTTGATATCAAAGCATTATGAAATTGTTATGCCACTTAATCACACCGATGACAGCTGATGTAACAGGCTTGCTTTCTTTGACTAGACAGTGCAGTGTCCACTCCTTGGACAGGAGAAGAGACAAGTACCATTAAGTTTAGATGAGGAAACGAGGTTTACTGGCCCTCATTGGAATGATATGTTACACATATGTGTGCCTGTGAGTCTGAGAATGTGTCTGTGGTTATAAGAGATTCAAAGAGATAGGAAGGAATTATAAGCACTTCCTATTGTAGTTAATGCCTATTTTCCATCTTAGGAAGGCTTTGTTATTATTGATATTGTTAACCTTTTGTACCAGTTCTAAGGGTTACATTCCTGCTTAAAAGATTATTTATTTTTTCTGACAATTTTGATTTTTAACATTTCTTATCCTTTTTGGTGTATATATGTATCTGCCCCTTAATTCAATCATTCAACATTGACTGAAACTCTGTTTCTGTGGTCAACAGACCCAAGGCTTTGTTCCTAAGATTATTTGATGCTGATTAGAACCTGGTTGTCCTGAGGCAGGCATGTGATCCAAGATGCTGGATGAGGCCAGTTTGAATCAAGAGGAAAGAAAGGAGAAAATGACATATTAAAGAAAAGAAATTTTTATGTTTATAGTTCCATTTTGTGTAGTTAGTTTCAGGAGCAGAGAAAAGACAGTGGGCTGGAGCACAATGCATGAGGGGAAGTGAGACAAGGTATTTTGAATAAACAAAGCTTCTGACACCCAAGGGGAGATGTGTCCAACAGACAAGCGCTTTTCAAACTTTAATGAGCTTATGAGCCCTGCCAGGATCTTGTTAAAAATGCACATTGTGATGTAGTCAGTCTGGGGTGGAGCCCAAGAGTCTACATTTCTCACAGTGTTCCAAGTGCTGACAACCCTGCTGGCCATGGAACACATTTTGACTAGTGAGATATAGGAATTTTTTATTTGTGAATCCATAGTTAAACATAAAGGAGTGAAGGAGGGAACCAAGTGATTAAAGAGGTGGCAGGACATGAGAGAGAGCAGTGCCCTTGAAATCAAAGGTGCTTCCAATAGGTGGGAATGCACAGGTTGGTAACTATAGCCTGAGGACAGAGAAGTAGATTTGGGTTTAGCATTTAATAGCCCCTGGAAACCTTTCTTTCATAGAGTAAGTTAACTTCTAATACTGCTCTGGGTGGGTTTCAAGCTTTACCATTCTTCTCAAGCCCCCAACTCTAAAACCTGAAGACCTCACTTCCCAATAAAATAGAGACCAATTAACAAAATCAACTAATTTCCCCTTAAAAACCTATACCCCTCAAATGTAAAACTTTCTACTTCTTTCTTTTCCTCCTATCTCAAAGACATTGGCTATAGGTCCTTTCTTAGTGTTGGTAACTCACCTACCTTCAATTTTGCTATTGTCTCACCATAAAATGTGTTCACGTTTTTTTTTTTTCCCTTACCACTTCACTGATCTGTTCAAAGTCACAGATGACATTAGTTGGTCTATCCTAATGGTCTATTTCCCACATAAGTCATAGTTTGAAGAAGGAGCATGTGATGATATTCTTCCCAAGGAAACATGAGAGCAAGTTTGCAATGGGGTGAAGAAACACTCTTCAATGATTTTAAAAAAAAAAAGACATTCACAGACAATAGTGGGATGAAGGCCTGGGATGGGGAGGGGATTGGGTGGAGGGGGGAAAAGGTGGGGGAAATGGGGACATCTGTAATACTGTCAACAAAAAAAAAAAGGAGCACTGTGTAGAACGTGAGGCCTGGCAGTGGTACTACAATCTTGCAACTCTGAGGAGCCAGGAACCTGAGGGTGAGCCAACACTCCGAGACAGGAAAAGCAGGAAAATGGGGAGAAAATTTTTTCTTGTAATATAAATGAACCACCAGGTCCGATGAGGGTGGAAACACAATCTTTCTGAAATATTTGAGATAATTTTTGTTGTTCCTTCCAACCCTACCAGACCGCAGACCGCTGTACCGATTTTTAGGTAATTTCCACACAAAGGTGGAATATTGGCGCTAGATGAAAGGTAGACCTATTTTCTACAATGTCTCCAAGTTCCATCTTATTCTAACCATTTGTTTGCATGTAACTAACATTTTTCTATATCATGTTTTTTTCTCTTTAATGCTCAGGAGCCCAGGTATAGGGGACAGTTAGGTTCAGGGCCTCAGGTCTGGTAGACATCTAGCCTATCAAGTTAAGGTTTTCTATTACATATGTGCAATTCAGAGCATTCAACTGATACATTCTACCATAGCGGAATGTGTCTTTTTATCAGAGCTGCTCAAAGACAGAATATAGCCCCCCCCCCATGCCCTATCCCTCCTCCCTATCTCTCTATCTCCAAAACTATCCTTTTAACTTTTTGGTCTGCCCCACACAAGTACAAAACTTATATCTTCTTGTACACAAAGCAATTTGCAGATGATTATTGATATTCACAGCAATTCTTCACTTGCCTATTACTTCAGTTCAGATTTCTGCCTGGTACCCAGGCCTTAGTATTTACCTCTTCTATGCAATTGAGATAGGGATGATATTTGTGGCTTAATTACTGAATGCTAAATCACCTGTGACTCATATCTGGCGTTCATCATTTTGAACGTCCAGGAGGCACACATATAGAAATGAATAGTCATAGAAGTGCAGCTGAAAGAGTATTTATTAAATGTTACAGTGATCAGAATACATAATATAAAAGGGCATTCAGAATCTTCTCAGAAAGTCATAGCCAGTTTCCATAAAAAAATTCAAAACAAAAGTTCATATTTGGCTTATGAATTTCATGAATCCAGAATTTAGAAAATTTCTATTTCAGTGACTTAGCCTTAAAGACATAGTCTATAATAGGTCATCAACACATCCATGTGATAAAATATATCACATATTCTAGAAAGGATATTTTCCTTGGCTTAAGGGCACATCCCATAAAAGATGACTTTGACATGTATGTTAATAAAGGTCATAATTACTTTGCTGTTTCTCAGCCTTTCCCCAAGGCTAACCCTTGCATGGGTTTATGTGTGGGTGGGTTACTTGGGTGGGTTTTGCAATGATTCCAAGTTTCCCTGGTTAGTTGAAATGTAGCTTTACGTGGGATTCTGCCTATGGACTTTAGGCAGCTATATGTGATTATGTAATTTCTCTCTCCCCCAAAACCAGAAAAGAAACTTTCTTTCAGCTAGCAGAGGGCTTTAGGTGGTTTGGGTGGAGGAAAGATAACAAATACCTAAAATGAACTTTTCTCATGGTGAGTGTGATTAGAAGTATCAAAATATTTTCAGAAATGATCCATCGGTAGACTCGTGTGTGTGCTGTGTGTGTGCTAGGCTGCACCTCGGGTTTCTCACTATTTGCTCTGCCTTTTAAAGAGTCCGTGCTTTTTATTTCAAAACAGCAAAGTTTTGCCCTTAGCTGCTTCTATAAGCAGTTTCCATCGACAGATGCTTTTCCAAATATCTCAAAACGGAAACCATCACAGTTCTGCGAGAGAGAGGAAAAGTCCATCTCAGAAGATGAGGAGGTGTATATTCTGCTATGCACCATCAGGATAGGTGTCCCATCACTGCCCCAGTGCACAGGGCCGTGTTCTTTGTGAAGGGAGACGCACAGGGGGTATGAAATAAGCAGATCCATAAAGAGCTGCAATTTTGTTTGCTTCTAGCCCTGCTCCCACCTCCAAACACTAACCCAAATGCAAAGAATTGCGGATCAAAAGCTCCAGCTCTCCCAGCCATCACAACCCAGATGAGTCAGCCTCTTTCATGGAAATACAGTTTGGTTTTGTCAATTATCAATATGTTTCCCTCCTGATTCGTTTCTTATTATATATCTTTAAAGTTAAATTAGTTATAATAAGTACTTCTCTTATTTTATTGAATTCCATTTCAATGTTTTAATGAATATTTAGTAGAAAGTCCACAATGCTCACATTCATATTTCAAGTTATATTCAAATTTATTCAAAGATAAGATCGCCCAATATTATTGGAGAAGTCTACATAAATAATAGAACTGATGTTTTAGACACATATGTAATAATACTGTCTCCACATTATTTGCATAAGTTACAGAAATGTTTTTCTTAACATAGTCCTCCTGTTCCTCTTCTCAACTTGATATATTACTTTTTGCTATTTCTGGCAATTCTTTCTAGTACAAAAGATAAAATTTCAGCCACTTCAACTTTAAAAATAACCATAAAAAAGTCAACAAGAAGATGTGATTTAATCAAAGTGCCCTAAATCGATGAAAAACAGTTTATTTCACGAATTAAAAACTGGCTTAATAACACATTCTTAGGATTACAATGACATTTCCTCCAGCAATTTGGACGTGATCTGACAATTACGAATGTGAATTATGCTACATGTATCAATCTATTCTCATCACTGCAGTTTAGACAGCAAGATGAAAGTCATGCCTTCTGTTTCTCCACAGTTGAGTAACACCATGCTGGTTTTTACTATAACTGATGAAAGAAAAAGCATGGTAAACTGGAAGCATGTAACAAATACGGGAGGTCGTAATATGTTTCCAGGATATGGCGTCTTGCCATTGACCACAGCCTCTTGGAACAAGATAAAGTCATTGAAATAGTTAACAGATGTTAGCCATACTTGAAATGTAGAAGTTCTATTGCTAACAAGTATGTGGGGTCGGCTGGAGATCTGGCGCTTGGTCCATTATTTAACTGACTTGGCAAATGGGAAGCTGAGATCCAAAGGCATAACGCATATCAAGGCCACACACTTTGCACACTAAGCAGGGCTCATAAACTACTGACGGTACGTACATGGTGGTAAGCCTGCTTGATTAAGTATTTCACACAGTATTTGGTATTTAGGGAAATCTTAGGGAAAGCTGAACTCAATTTTCACATCTACTAAATTAACAAGTGAGTTCTCTAAGAACAAAAGGGTAGACTTTTCTCCATGTTCAAAAGCATATCTACAAATTTTATTATTTAGCTTCAGCTTGTGATTTACCTGATGACTGGTCTCACTTTGTGTTGACTTCAAAATGGGTCCACTTGTACTCTTCTGAAAGGCATCTCTTTCCCCCCCAACTTGTGTCTATTCCTTCACATTTCAGAACAAGTTGACAGGAATGATCTTTAGGTGCATATCTGTAGCTGAAATGGATCTCCTCAGCCTTGAGTCACAAATTCATTCATGTCAAGCATTGTAGGAGGCTTGTGCTACCTTCGAGTTTGTGGTTTTATTCACCGCTTTGCAAATAAAGTCACCAGCTTCCATTACTTTGTGAAGATTCACATCCTGGTAAAAGAAAGCCGGGGTACCAGAGGGGAAGAGGCATTTGGGAGAAAGAGGACAAAACAGATTCCTTTTAATTTTATTAACAGTTACTTAACCATTTAAAATTACTAAAAAACATAATGCTCATTATTGATTTGGGGGCAAGCTTTGTTTTCATGAACCATGTAGTCAACATTTTAGACTTTTCTTCATTAAAATCTATCTTGAAGTTGACCCTGTATTCAGGCTGGCCACACCTGAATAAATAAGTTTAATTCAGGTTGGTACCTGGATTCTAGGAAGGACAATACTGAAACTAGAAACAATCTATATAAAATATCAGTGAAGGGCAATTAAAATAATAATGAAGTTTAGGAAAAAGGCAGGAAAAAATACCTCTTTACAAAGAAACTTGGTAAAGCTATAAGAAATACAGGGCAGTTGAATGTATAATATTTTTAAACCATATTCAGAAAAATCATTAATTGTGTGCTACTGGAGGAGGTACCTGTAGGTCAAATGAAATGAAGAATATTTAGGGAATATCTGGAACTTGTTTGCCTGGGTTGTACTCTGAAAGTTTAGGTAAATCCACGTATGACAGATAGGCCATTGAGTATGAAGACCAAATTCAAGGCATGTTCCTCAGCTCTAGGACTTAGCATAACAAAAGGTCACCCTCCAGGTGTCCACCCAGCGTCTTTATTGTCACTGCGGGAGGCAGAGCATTAGGTGGATTAAGCAGAGATTTGTGCTCACGCAGCATTTCATAAGCTCCTATGTTCTCCCTCAATATGAACTAGAAACAACATGGACTTAAAATTGAACAGATTCAGACTTCCTTGCTATTAAGGAGTAGTTTTAAAAAAAAATATGTGAGTCTGAAATTTTCTTAAAATAAGTATAAAAAAGTCGGGGGCTTTTTATAACAATGATCATAAAGAGATCATCATTCTAATATACCCAATTAAAAGCTAGTCAAGAAAAAATAAATACCCAATTACTTCTCTCTTTTAATTGATTTGAGAGAGGAAGGGAGAGGGAGAAAGTTATAAAACATGACCTGACACATATTCTGCATCAGCTAAGTTCAATGCAGTCATTGAATCTCTGAGAAAAGATCTATTTTTCTTCTGTTTCTGTCACAACTATACATTTCTGATAGAAATGATTAAGCTACTTTGTAAGTGAAATAATATTATTTCCTAATCATAGAAAATAGCCAGTGACTTTTGGTGTTTACAAGAAATAGCTTTTGGTGTTTAGTGCCACATGATATAAATGAATGTTGTTGAGCATCTCTATGTAACGGGCATAGTAAGCTATAATAATTGCTCTCTGGTTGCACAGGGAGCTAGACGCAGAAATAAAATAATTCATTCTACAACTTCACTGAAAGTGGGTTCAGAGGTAGAGGCATGGAGGGTAGCATGGGAGCACTAAGGGGAAGAACCCAACAGTATGGGCCTGTGAATAGGCAAGAAGATGCCAGAAGAAGAATTTTTGAGGATAGTGGTGCTTCACTCTCAGGTGAAATCAAGTATGGGGAGTAAGGCCATTCCAAGTGGTTGTGAAACCATGAGTGGTGAGAAATAGAATGGTGTAGAAATGAAGACTGCAGGCAATTTTGGTGTTGCAGAAGCATCAATATGAGTAGAGGAAAGAGAAGAGGAGAGAGGAGAGAGGGAGAAGGACAGAGAACATTCCATTTTGTAATCCAGATGATGCTTTTATATCTCAGAAAACATTATGAAGTTCTAATCATCTGTGAGCTGTTTTTCTTGCCTTTCGTATTTTTTCTCTAAAAAAATCTGCCTTATAGACGGAATAAGTCACGCTAACAAGCATGTGGCCAAACAAGGTGCTTATTTGGGTGAAGTATGTGCTTTTCAGGCACCACTTGTAAAGAGACTATTCTTCTTGTCCAGTGTCTCACATGCTAAGTATTAACGGAGCTCTACTCCTCCACTGACCATTTTAAATGTGCCCTGGGCTCTTTGCCAGCAGCCCTAGTTGTCACTGGGAGAAAAATCAAGATCTCCCTTTTCTCCAAGGAAAACATCCATAAAAAAAATCCCCAAACTGTGAAAACAATAATCATAACAGGAAAGACACAGGCTCTAATTCACAAGGCATGTAAAACCAAATCAGATAAAACATTAAAAAAATACTTGGGAGGTCATGAAGCACTATAAAAATGTGAAATGGTAGCATTATTGGTGATTGAACTAGAGCAATAAGTTACTTTATAAGGCTCCCCAAAGAATGGTTATTATATTTTCCCACTGTGCATTTTAGCAAATAGCAAAAGTATAGTAAAACTTTGACCTCAAAATTGCTTCCCAATCTGAGATGCATTCCAAGCTGGATCTGCAAGGAATACATGAATATTAAAATATGTAAAACTAACTTACTGTATTGAGCCCCAGGCCATTAAGCATATATATCAAATCCTCAGTGGCTACATTTCCAGAAGCACCTTTTGCATAAGGGCAGCCACCTAATCCTGAGACTGCAGAGTCCACCACGTTGATCCCCATCTGAAAAACAAACCAAAACACCCAGGGCTTGTATATTTCTGGCATCTAAATTGTTGCATTTCTATTTAACCTGTTCCAAAGAGCAAATAAGCAAAATCTGAACCCCTTGTCCAAACATTCACTTACCCACCTGCTGCTAGAACAGTCCTTGGGGTGCTGCTTTCTTTTCTGACTAATCTCATTTTTTTAAGGCTAACAAAGTCTTCTAAGGATCTTGGGAACTAGAATAATCGTAGATCAACATTAGGATGGTGTTTTCATTGCTAGCAACACATTTTTCTTTTGTAGGGGGTGAAGCCTGAAGTAAGATGAATTCACATCTAGGTTGTATATATTCATCAACCTCAAATCTCAAGTTTTATCCTAAAAGCATTATATAAACAACATGAAATATTTCTAAAATACCAACTCAAAATCAAGGTGCCTTAAAACTTTCTGGTGATGGTAGTGGCAGCATCACTGCATTTGAAATATGATTTTTGTGGGGTCAATTCACCCAGTCTTTTCTGAGCCATTATTTTATACACAACACCCTGCTGCTTTGGGAGTAGTAAAGAAATATTTAAGAGGCAAAGCATCCACAACTAATAATAGCATCAGCTCACATTTACTAGGTCCTCACAAAGTACTGCTTATTATTCTTAACACCTTATGAGTATGAACTCACAATCCGCACAAAAATCCATGAGGTGGGTGCTCTTCTATGTCCCCGAGTCAAAGATGAAGAAACTCAAGTACAGAAGGATCACACATTTTGCCCAAGGTCACCTCTGTCTCTAGAGAATTCCCATTCTGCGGTGATCTGTGGCCTCTGAAAACATTTGGGTTGGTACATGTTATGTGTCTGGGGATGTCGGAGGTGGAGGGGCTCTGTGCGTGCTGGAAGACATGAGCACAACAGGCTCTGAAAAGGGCCCTGGAGATGAGATTTGAATAACAGGAGAAGAGAGGCAGACGTATCATGCCTCCGTGAAAGATGATAACTGGGTAATCGAAAGCTACCAGGAGGCCCTATCTGATTCACTCCTGGGCATTAAAGGAAAAGTAACATGACCTCATATAAAATGAGAAGCACCTGAAAGCAAGAGCTCTTGGCCAACCTGCTAGATCAGCAGTTCTCAATCACAGTCAGAATCCCCGTGCCCAGAACACTAGATCCCCTGAGTTTCTGATTCAGGAGGTCTTGGCTGAAACTTGAGAATTTGAATTTTTAACAAGATCCCAGATGCTGCTCTCACTGCTGCTCTGGGGATGACTGTTTCCTTTTTCTTTTCTTTATTAATAACCTTTTTATTTTAGAATCATTTTCGATTTTCAGAAAAAAAAATTTAGTACTGAACATTCCCATATATTCTGCACCCAGTTTCCCTCATTGTTAACATTTTCATAATTACAGTCTCGTTGTCATGGCTCATGAGCAAGTATCAAAAGTTATTATTAACTAAAGTCCATACGTTGTTCAGACTTTTAGTTTTTAACCTAATGTCCTTCTGTTTCAGGAACTTCAGGTCACCACACTGCATTTAGTGCTCTTGTCTCCTTAGGCTCCTCTGGCCTGGGGTCGTTTCCCAGACTTGCTTCCTCTTTGTTGACTGATGATTTTGAGTAGTACTTGTCATGTGTTTTGTACAATGTTCTTCAGTATGGGTTTTATGACTGATTTATTTTTCCTCATGTTTAGAATGGAGTTCTGGGGTAAGGTGAGGAAGATGACACAGGTGGTTCTTAATTCCTCACATCCAGGGTACTGTGATATTATGACTGATAAAAATGCACATATTTGGTCATTCAGATGGCCAAAGAATATCGGTATTTCTCATATTTGGTCTTCCCTGGTTCCTGGCTAGAGTGCCTGAATCCTTGGAATTTCCTAAGCGATGAGAGTTATAAAGGAGTCTTCTGTTGTTAATGAGGTGACACGGGGATCTCACCTAGGGATGGGAGCTGGTTGTTGTCTGTGGTGCCATTATGTGATTGGAGGGTTAGAATTTTCAGTCCCACCCCTGACCTCGAGGCAGAAGAAAGGCTGGAGGTTGACTTAATTTCCTAAGGTCAGGGAGTTTGGAGAGCTCTGGGTTGGTGAACCTGTGCAGGTGCTGGGAGAGTAACGTGCTTGCAGAGGGCATGGAAGCTCTGTGACCTTCCCTGTACCTTATCCTATGTGTCTCTTCCATCCGGCTGTGTCTGAGTTATATCCTTAGATAATAAACTGGTGGTCTAGTATGTAAAACATTTCTCTGAATTCTATAAGTCATCTAGCAAATTAGTTGAACCCAAGGAACAGGTTGTGGGAACCTATGATTTATGGACAGTCTGTCAAAAGTACAGGGAACAGTCTGGACCTGTGACTGGCATCGGAAGTTCAAGGAGGGGGTTGTGGGAAATGCTAATCTGTATCCCGTTGGTTAGAGTCACAGATGAGAACTTGGGCTTGTAACTGGTATCGGAAGGTGGGGAATGCAGGCTTGTAGGACTGAGCATTGAACTTGTGGAATCTGATTCTACCAGCATCAGAATTAAGTTGAATGGTCTAGAACTGTCAGTTTGGAGGGAGAAACCTCCTTCACCTCCCCCACATTAGAATTGAGTTCAGAAACCCAAAGAGAGCATACTGTGAAAGTCCTTTGACTGATGGTATTAGCCTTTACCACCTGGCTGAGGTAGTATTTCCCAGGTTTCTGCACTGTGAAGTCCCACTTCCCATACTGCACTCTGGAAAAAAACTCATGTGCAGCTCATACATAAGGAGTGGACAATATCTACATAAACTATTTGGAATTCTCCTATAAGGGAGATTTGTCTATTCTCCCATATTCGTTTTTAAACATTTGTTTATATCAGTAGGGACTCATAGGTATTTTTCACTTTGGGTTATAATCTAGTGTTATACATTCTGTTGTTCAAGTTGTTTGAGATTTGGTTATTGGGAGCTCTTTGTTAGCTCCTGTATTCCTTTAATAAGGCAAGGGGACCATGCTTTTTAAATCACTCTTCTAGATTCTTCCTTGTGAGACTTAAGATATGTTTCCTTAGGCTCATCAGGACAGAACCATAGTCCAAAGCCCTGGATGTCTTTGGGGCCCAAAAGAAGTTTGCAAATATAATCTGTTTGCTTCTGCATCTTAATTTCTCCTGATTATACTTCTCAACATGGGAAGGTCTCAATAGCTCTCCCTCCATTACCACAACCTCTCTCAAACGGTGATCCTACAAGGTCAATCCTATTCAGGTGTTAACAAGTGACCAGATAAAGTGCTTGTCCATTTAAAACAGGGGTGGGGAACCTTTTATTCTGCCAAGAGGCATTTGGATATTTATGACATCGTTTGCAGACCATACAAAATTATCAACTTAAACATTAGCCTGCTATATTTGGTCAAACATTTAATTAACTCACCCCTAATACCTTGGCAGGATCAGACCAAATGATTCAAGGCCCGCAGGCCGGACGTTCCCCACCGCTGATTTGGAACAATTTATCTAAGTTGCTGTGAATCAAAATACTAAGTATAAGAACTATGTGCTAGGAGTGAAATTTGTGGTATTGTCCGGTGGTTGGGAAAGACAAATGTCAGGATGCTGGCTCATCTCTGGGAGTCTGCCATTACATCCAGTGGGCAGAGGGATTCTTGATTTACAGAAGTCTATCAGTTCAGTAGAATTTAACCCTCACCAAGACAGTTTTACTGGTTCTCAGTCCTGGCTACCCATTGTAATCACCTTGGGACCTTTCAAAACTAACACCCACTTCTCCCCAAACCAATTATATCACAATTTCTTTCTGAGAATGAGATCAGGTATTGATACCCTGTGATTCTTTTGTGTATCTAGGTGTGGGAATCCCTGAGGCAGAGGTTCCCATCCATCTTTCCTTATTAGTCCTGGGTCTGAGTCAGCTTTAATTTGAGAAAAGCTCTGTACCCTGGGGGCAACAGTTAATTAAGCATGACTGGTGGACTTTTCAAGGACATCAGCTTCTGAAAGAAGACCCAAAAAAGTATGAGGTAGCAAAAGCCAGCAGTACTAGCAAGGTAGGTGAAAGGTGGTGTCAGCCCACCATGAGGGCTGGAATTCACATATTATGTTCCTTTCCCCACTACTGCGGATGAAAGCCCTGCAGCCACAGGGCCACACAGTCTTAATTGGCCTTTTGAGAAATAGTGAAAAAACAAGTCGCTCTTACCTTGTAACTAAAGCCCTACTGAGTGTAACTAATGTACCTTATTGGGTGACTAACATGAAACGATTATTCATAATAAAATAACCAGAGCCACAAGAGAGGAACAATAATTAACCAATGTCAAAATTGAGCAAACATAAATAAAGATAGAAAAACAATCTCACATTAAGTCAAAGACTGAGAGCAAACTAAAACACTGTGATATTTTACACTTTCAGCTCAAAAAGATTATTTACAATGAAATAGCATAGAGCAACAGGATGTGGGAAAAAACTTCAACAATATGGACAAATCTCACAAAGAAAAAGTTGTATGAAAGAAGTCAGGAGCAAAAGAGGGCATCCATTACGATTCCATTAGTTAAGTTTTCAAATAGATAACAATTAATGCTGTAAGAAGTTAGGATAATAGTTAACCTTTGAAAGGTAACTAAAAATGGGCACAGTTAGAGCTTCCCAGGGTGCTGACAACATTCCATTTCTTGAACTGGGCTGGTAACACCAATGTCAGTTTGTGAAAGTTCTCAGAAGTTTGTGTTTATAAATTGGTCAATTTTCTGTGTGTGCATTAGACTTTGATAAATATCAATGACAAAAAAAAGCAGTGTTGTTGAAAATTCAGGTAAACAGAAAATTTAAACTGGTAGGGAAATAAATTGTAATTTTTTTTCCTGAGGGGCAATTAATCAGCAATTAGTCTTAGTTGCCCATATCTGCCATCCTAGTAATTCTTATAAAAAAAAAAAAAGTGTTTCCCAAGGAATAGTACAAAAATCCTAAGTAAATACATGGTGGGAAAAAATAGGTTTATAGCTGTGAGT